TTTTAGGCATCTATGAAAACACTTTGTGTTTGTGAAATTCGACGGTCGCCTACATTCATTTATACAACGGATGACAACACCATTTTACTTTTTGAATAGTGTACATAGGCTGAGTTCATTTTGTTCATTTTCGTGTGTACATGTTATTGTTAAGCACACGGGACCAACAGCTTAACTTTCCATCTGAAGGAGGAAAATAAATAAAAAATAATAACTCGATACCATATCACATCAGTAGGCCTAAAGGCTAGTGACGTAGACTTATAACGTTTTCCCCAATAAGTATCGGTATCGGACTGTACATGTTTTAATCTTTCCACCTACCATGAAACACGGAGGATGCCTCATTTTTGGCATTTATTATAATAACTGTAGGCCGAAAAACATTTGCAATTTTGAGTCAAGCCGAGGTGGGACATTTCATGTACGAGTACACCCCTGCCCTGAATTCACTACTGTATATTGTGCATTTCTCTTCGAAACCGGATTAACACGCCCCTCAAATTTGACACATCCCTCATTCTTGGTACCAGTCCAATAACACTATTCTCATAACTTGAGCATGTTTGCTAGCCATACGTTACGAAGTTCGCTAAAGAGTTTCATGGGTTTCGATTGATGCTTGCTGTGGAAAAGCTGAAACGGCGGCAAAGTGTAAAGACACCCCAGTGCGTCCCGGCGTACTGATGTGGATCTGGTGTCGTATAGTCTAATTGATAAATGTACAATATTGTATTTGACATGAGAAATTATCGCCAACTGCCCTGCGTAATTTCAACGCAGCGTATGGCCTTCCGCTTTTCTTCGCAACACATGCGACCAAATATATAATAGTAACAAAAATAACACTAACAACAACAGTTATAAATGATGATGATGATGATGATGACGATGATGATGGTAATGATAACGATGATGATGATGATGATGATGATGATGATGATGATGATGATGATGATGATGGTAATGATAACGATGATGATGATGATGATGATGATGATGATGATGATGATGATGATGATGATGATGATGATGATGATTCAATTCAATAGTGATGAGGATGGTTCAATTCAATAGTGAAATAGAAACGAAGTTGTTTTGACAGAGACGGACGCATTGGATTTGAAAAATATATCTGTTAGAAATCCCGGGAAAGATGAAAGTGAAAGCTTGAGGATACATTAAGTTGAGTCGATTTTAATTGCATCAAGTCAATAATCCGGGGCTGTAAACTCTTTGATCTATGATTTCGGCAAAATCTGAAATCGTTATTAATTAGCGAATTGTAATTTTTATATCGAAGAACATTTTCTCTCATCCGTCAAATCGCTATAGTAATTAGGTAAAATATTCCTTTAGATCTTATATTTACCGCCGCTATTTGTCGATAAATCGTGTATGCGTTCAAATCCAGAACGGGATTGTCGAAAGTAACCTGTTTTAATTAAACGGTAGAAACTGCATTGGAAATTAATGCTCAGGCTTTAAGTTTCTCCGACTAGTTCCTATATCACACTGCCGCGCAACTTAGATGTATAAGATCTACTTTCTCATGGTTTCATCCGAAGGATGGTAAATCCCTGTGGAAATAGCATCGATATGACAGAATGTCATGTTTTCTTTTGAAAAAAGAAGAAATATTTCAACTTTTAAAATACCTAAATTTCTTAATTAAAACGGAAACGTTCAAGCCGTGATCCTTGGTTATTAAGTTGTACACGCAAATGTTATATGTTTTTAGATTTTGCGGCTACCCAAGCTTATTGCGGTATTCCATGTGGTATTTTTCCGATTTATCGGCTTATTTTGTAGTCGTATGCCTTTTTTTTTGTTTCACGCATTTATGTAAACTGAGGCTAATCATAAACATTGTGTTTATCTACTCTTGAGTACGCTACGACTTATGTTTTTCACCTTGGCATTCAGGGGCGAATTAGTTAGGCCCATAAGCCTACTCAGCATACTTTTATTTCTTGCCCTTGATTGACCTATCTTGATGCTATGTTGCTATCCCATCATTAGAAAATGAATGATGGATGCTCATTGGTCAAAAGTTTGTCAATTTGTGCAACGTCCATCATCTTGTATAGCGGCCTATAGTTTTCTTTGTCTGATCATACATTCACAATAAGAAATAATATATAAGTTTCTGCCTACGTCACTGATGTATTTTGTGGTATAAATGATACATTCCTAAGATTCGTCAAAATGTTTGATGGCATGGATATTTCTCATGTGTAAGCCTACTCCAATAATAAAGTCTCTATTCATTTTAAGTATTTAGTAATTGTTATCAGACTATTATTATCGTTATTGTCGTTTATTATCATTATCGTTTATAATAATATTATTATTCATTTATTTATTTTTTTATTTCAAACACAACAGGAAGATAAAAATACAATCAAAACAATCGAGAAATATAAAAATATACAATTCATAAGGTAAAAGACATTTAAAAAGGAATGCATTCACAGTAGACCTAAATATAGCTTTGATATTATATTATTTTTTGTTGTTATTACTATCACAGCTATTATTATTATTATTATTATTATTATTATTATTATTATTATTATTATTATCATCATCATCATCATTATTGCCATCATCATTTACACACTATATTGCAATTAACATTCATTACTAGATTACTAAAATAAGTTGTAAAAGCCATCATGTACTTTGTAGCAAAGCTAAATTGTAGTAC